AAATAAAAAATCACCCGATAGCTTCCAACTGCATGAATAACATGTTTGCCATTGCAACAATCCAATTGGATTTTTCACGTGAAAGAAGAATATTACCATTTACGATATTCTCAAATGTGTGATATCCATTGAATGCAACAAAGAAATAATATATGACAACAACAATATATGCAAATATTTTTGAGGTTAAAACTCAAAGAAATATTATTTTATTTACAAAAATACAACACAATGGAATTATACAAACAATTTCTCTACACAACTTTTTTTATACCGCCACACCATCTCTCACATACACAATACATTCATCCCATTTTCTCTAACCATTCCCTCAATTCTTTCTTCTCTCTCCATATTTGCTTTTCTCTTATCTCACTACCATTCACTCTATTTTATATATTGGCAAATTCTCTCCACTCATTGCCCCTCCCAATTTCTCTCACAGAACTCCTTCTCCTTTATCACTCTTTCTCTTTCTCTGCTCTTCTCACCCTTTGCATACACTACAATGGTTGGCTGAGACTTCTATTTATATTCAACAATGCCAGTGGAATTGTCTTCTAGTTTCTTCCAATATGTCAGCGAAAATGGGTAAAATTAGTCTTGCAATTGGCAGTGGAATAGCAGCTTTTCTGGAATTTTCCCAACTGTTTGAAGAAGAAGGTTCAAGAAACGGACTGCACTTTATAGTTTTCTCTGGACTAGAGTTAAAGAAATTGTTCCCAACTGCTTAAAAAAAAATAAAAAAAAAGAGGAACCTCAAAAAATTCTGTGGGGTCATTTGACCCCATGTGGGTCTGCCCCTGGTATTATATAGAGGTGTTCAAGACCTTTTGTTTCTAAACTGGAATCTGTCAAAACAAAAGAGTTACTATTAAAATCCAGGCAGCTTGATTTACAAAGATATCAGTTAAGTTGGAAAATCTAAAAAATGGAAGAAGCATCATCTAGGGCGAAGGGGCTAACAAACATTTCTGTCAAAGTGAAATCTTGTTCATATTTCATAATTTAATTCTCTATTTCATCTCATATTAAAAACTTCATATCTATTGAGTTTCCTTCATGACGAGCAACCTAGACCCGTGTGATTTTAGTGTTTGTCTTCAATTAGGTTGAATTTCCAAATGAAATAGTATCACAAGCATTTGATCTTTGTTCCATTAGGCATGACCTTAGTCGACTCTTATCTCTTGTAAAAATATTGGTTATTGTTCAATGAAATAAATAAAAATAAACTAGATTACTTGGTTACTCAATACATTAAATCTAAAGAATGCTTGACTGAACAACAAATAAATGAGAGTTTAGTGCGAACAAGTAATTATTAACATCTTTTAATAGTTTTTTTTTTTTTTGTATGAAACTCGAGTTTTGAATCACTTGCTAATTGAATTTTCTCTCGAACTAAAATCTATTCAAATATCACTTAATTTTTAATATGTATATCAATTTTCTGGGTACACATGAATAGCTGAAGCACCATATCTTGCCGAAATTTCATTAAGTGAAAATGAGCTTTGAACATACCTTGTCTATTGTAATATCAAGTGCTCCAAAGTTAGGACACATTGTTTATTGCTTTGGAATCAAGCTTCATTGCTTTCCTTTTATAAGAACATGCTAATTTTTAATAACTTTATGTTGTTGGTGGAGTTCTATTTCACTGATATCAATTTGGCTGCCACTGATCATTTACTTGGGGTTACCATCAAAGATCCTGATGGCTATGTTAAGGTTTTTAGTAAAAAGTTTTATTTTCAAGATCCTTTTGTGTGCACTATTCAATAGAGAAGCATGAAGTTTTCACAAGAGAACATATATTTACTTTACAAGCATATAAATATAATTTGAACTTTAAAACATACTTCATCACAATGGAAGAAGGATGTATTTTGTAAAGGAACAAAGCTCTTTAGTCATGGCCTTAATAAAAATTAAGAATGGAAATTCCTCATATGGCCAACCATCAACAACAAAGACATCAAGAGAATAGCCATTGACGACGGAAAAGGCATGCGC